GCCCCTAGTACCCCACCCCCAAAATTTCAGACCCCAGGGTAGGGGACTTCGATGTCCCCGAGCCCGATGTTTATTCGTATAGTATTATATAGTAGGGCAAAAAACTAGAAGATCCTATCTCGGAAACTAGAGATGGTACCATCACCATTTTTTCATAGAAGTAGTATCTGGCCCCTAGTACCCCACCCCCAAAATTTCAGACCCCAGGGTAGGGGACTTCGATGTCCCCGAGCCCGATGTTTATTCGTATAGTATTATATAGAAGGGCTAAAAACTAGAAGACGATATCTCGGAAACTAGAGATGGTACCATCACCATTTTTTCATAGAAGTAGTATCTGGCCCCTAGTACCCCATCCCCAAAATTTCAGACCCCAGGGTAGGGGACTTCGATGTCCCCGAGCCCGATGTTTATTCGTATAGTATTATATAGTAGGGCAAAAAACTAGAAGATCCTATCTCGGAAACTAGAGATGGTACCATCACCATTTTTTCATAGAAGTGGTATCTGGCCCCTAGTACCCCACCCCCCAAAATTTCAGACCACACAGCGTATGTTTTAATTTTGAATTGCGAACTGCGTTCTAGAACTCAGTTCACTTTTGAATTGCGAATAGCGAACTGCGAACTGCGTTCTAAAATCTGAACGCCTAAAAAATCCTGGTGGAATACCTTGCTAAACAATCGCTGAACCAGCCTAATAAATTTTTGAGGTGAGCCAATCCTAATTGTCACATTTTTAACGATATTTTTAATTAAGCTGATTCTTCTCGTTAAATTTTCATTGAAAATCGTCAAATTTTTAAGCAGATAAAATATTCTAAACTTTCCTTATTTGACAATCTACTATTTAGAGTTCACTATCTGGCAAAATATTGTGTTTTCGGCATAAAATTGTTCGAATCATTCGATTGTCACTACTGTAAACGATGTCATGTGCCCAAGAGATTAAATTTCAGCTTTCTCGACTCCTCCGCAAAAGAGCGATAGTAAGTTAGATAACTGTGAGGTACTCATTGGTAGTCGCAATATTACGTATTCAGGAGAATTGAAATATTTATTTTGCGTATTAAAGCTCACAGAATTTCATGAGTGGCTAAATCAAGAAAATAAATGTGCATGCAAATTTTGAAAGTGGAGGAGCTAAAGTAGAAAATATGAATTTAAAACACAGCTTTAACACAAGAGTTGACATATTTTGATTAGCCTTGAACATGTCAAATTAAGAAAGTGGTGAAGTATTCAATGTGCATAATAATTATATAATTTAGTTTGCGCTAATTCTTTGTACGTAATAATTCCCTACCTGTGATATTGTTAATGTTTGGGCCTCTTAGTTTGAGATATTTGTTTGGAAAGCTGTTTTCGTTTTTGTTTTTATCAAAAGATATCAAGTGTCTCAAAAACTTTCCAGGCATTTTTACTGATAATATTCTGTTCTCTGTTACCTTTCAATGGTTACTGTTTTAATATTTTGTTCAGAAACAAATTACTTTAATTGAGAGCTAAATTGTTACTTCACGAAAAATTCCAAATCTATTTTTCGTATTTTTGTTTTCTATAAAAGAGATTAACAAAAATGGAACTTTTTAAATTTTTTTGGACACCAGCTAGAAAATGATCTTTTTAAAGATTAAAATGACAACCATGGAAATGTTATAAACAAATTTATGAATGATATCTTTGCTCTAATAGCCTTAGAACATTTTAATAGAGATAAAACTGTTTGTATTATAATGTTAGGTATAGTATAGCTTTGATTTTCTTATTTAAGCTTTAAAACTTTCAGAAATGAACACTTCATATCCTAAAGCTGCTTGATATTACTGATAAGCATTCGACTAAAAAGGATATTCCTAGCAAAACGAATGTTTTTGCATCAAAAAATGACAAGGTTTCATTATTCTACGGGGTCATTTTCTACAATGCACAATGAGAAAAACGACCCCAAGGCCATAAATTCTACAAAAAAGTGAGTCATTAGAATAGTAGAATATTGACAACGGAGTCAAATTCCTACGTAGAAAATGTCATCCGGTCAATATTCTACGGGAGTCACTTTTCGTCGTTACACTGGCAAATGTTCAATTCACAAATAAGAATGAACAAGTGGTGCGTAATACATGCAATTTTGTCTAGTCTACGTATTAAAAATACAGTGAAAGATGCAAATAAAACGATCGATATATAATTTCATTTCTCAAATTAAACAAAAAAAATTAAATTGATATTTTTCAACATTGCACATAATGCACATAACTTAAATATAGATCGGAGACAAGCTCACTTAGATATAATTATAAATTCAATACCACCAAGTTGCCCGTGTGATGCAGTGGCTGGATTGTCTGCTCTAGAGTCGCGAAATAAGGAGTTCATCATACCGTTGTGGGTTCGAATCCCATGGGACGTGGAGACTAGTACTTCGGATGAGGATGAGACCTTATAAACTCGGTCCTGTGTCGCAGTAGGTAATGGCTCGAAAAAGATACCTCCCTGCACAATGGCCATGAGCGCCGAGAATATGAAAATATTTGCAGCTCTCCAAAGGTAAGTGGTGGTGTCTCCATATAATATTGTGGTACGAAACACTTTGGTACGATCTAACAATAAATGAGTTTGCAACCTGATACTGGCCTAGTGATCCCTCGTGGTTCCCGAGCCCCTGTATTGGCCTGTAGCTGAGCTCGCAGACTTACAGGTCACTACAACTGGTGTCAGAAGTGACCGATTCTACGTCCAGTTGAAAAATATACATATCCTTTTTCTATTTTTCTTGTATTTTGATTAGCGTAAGGCAATAGTGTCGAGGAAACTCGGACATTCCCGCGTTTTGTCAAACTTGGTTTCTCACAGTATAGGAGAAATTAATTTATCAAGTGTGACAATATTACTACGCTACTATTTGACAATCATTTTTAAAATTTTATACTTCTATCTCATTCTCCATTTAGCGTCAGTGTTGATTTTTAATTTGTAAATTTGGGTACGGAAACCCATAGCTGTCACAATTCGAAATTTTTTTTCAATTACATACAAATTTTTGCGATATCATTCAAGCAATTTTATTTTGGAGTTTTTGTTTGAATTTCTAATTTCATACGTCATATTATTTTTGTATTCAACCCTTCAATCTTCATATAATCATATTGCATATTATTTTGTTCATGTCATTGTCTGGACCAAAAATACAAGCTTTTCTCAGTAAGCCACAAACAACACCACAAGGGTCACTGTGTCACACACCAATTCTTCTGTCAGACAGCAAAGGTTTTGCTCTTAAAAATAAGACCCCCCTGAGATTTGTCGAGTTGTGGTGCCAAAGTGGCCTGCAAACTGAAAAGGCGGTAGATCAACTTGAACACAGATTGGAGTCCAGAGCCTTTGGTTCAGCACTGATTTATATTTGGCTTGGGACTTGTGACATTACCAGAAAAGAGGGGAAAATTACTCAAGTTCGCTGCTGGGACAATACTGTCATAGATACCATTACCGCACAATACCGAAGAGCCATAACAATTGTATCCAAGTTCCAAGATATAAAAGCGAAATTCATTGAAATACCGTGCTACTCAATTGTGGCATATAATCGGCACAAAGGTCATTCCAATCCAGACTTATTCAAAAGCCAAGACATTGAAATTTGCAGGCAAGTGGAAGCTTTAAATGCAAATATTCGTGCAATAAATTCAGAAATTGGACAATCTACTTTGCGATTTAATAAGGACATAACACGCAGACGCAAGGACACAGACAATCGCAAGAAGAAGAACAACGGTGTAAGGATTTCTTACAAATTTTCTGTTTTTTACGACGGCATCCATCCAGGTACAGAATTGGCCTTGATCTGGAGCAGAAGGTTGACTGAGGACATTAACAGAAGTTGTTTCAGAGTTTTACCAGAAGACATTTTAGACATACAAGTATCTGAGGAGGATTTAAAATCAATAGAATAATGCCTGCTATAAACTTGAATACTGCGTCTTATGAGGACCTAATTGAACTCGAAGGAATTGGTCAGCACAGAGCCACAGCTATCCTTAAACTACGGGAGGAAAAGGGCTTTATAACAGAGGATGACATACGCCAATTCCTACAGGGCACCTATAGTACCATAAGAACTCTGTTCGATGAAGAAAAAGTTTCTCTAGACACACCACCACAGATAATTCAGGCACTTAAGAAGGAATGGGATGACCGAATGGAAAAAATGTCGAGTGACTTTAAGGAGCAAATGAAGGCTTCGCAAGAACACTATGAACTCATGCAAACACAGTTTGAGGAAAACCTTAGAAAAACATATGAAGAAAAGTTACTGAAAATAAATGAAAATGCTGTCGGTAATTTGGCTCCACATGGTGTTTATGGTGGTGGTAATCCATGGATGAAACCTAAAATGGACATCAAAAAGGAAAACACCTCGTTACCTAGTGACAGTGCTACTGCTAATTGTGGCTGGCTTTTGTCTGGCCCGCCCAGTGGGAACACTGCTGCTAAGGTAACCACAGATGGAAATTCACAAAAAGTGAAAAGTGGACAGAAGCCAAATCTCATGACGAGTTATCAAACTATGGGCCCTCCCCCACCAAAGATGGCTACCTTCGATGGAAAATCGGAATGGAATCCATACATTGTGCAGTTCAACATGATAGCGACAAGATATAACTGGAACAATGAACAACGACTGGAACGCCTAGTTGAATCTTTGCGTGACAAAGCATTAAAGTATTACTGTACATGTTCAGCCCAAGTACAGAGCAGTTTCTCATCACTTTGTGCAAAGATGAAAACAAGATTTGGCCAGCGAGATCTCCCTCACACAATTAGGAAGAATCTCCAGGATATCAAGCAAGGGGACCAATCTGTTGATGAATTTGCAGAAAAAATCAAGAAGAGATGGTAAGTGAAGGCTACCCACAGGCTCCAGACTGTGTAAAAGAAACAATAGCTACTGACACTTTCCTGAAGGGCCTCGAAAATAAAAGAGCAGCACTTACAACTATGGACAAAGACCCTCCTGACCTTGAGACGGCCTTACAATTGGTAAAGGCTGCACTCAATAATCAGAGATTAATCTTAGGCGCTAAGAAGCCGGAGGTGAGGAAGGTTCGTTTTGAAGAGGATGACCTTGATAGTGACTTGGGCTTGTTGAATGAATTTGAAGTTAGACCAATACGACCCCAAAGCAGAGTAGACAAACTTTCAGAAGAAATAGCTGAACTCAAAAGTGGGCTGGAGGCGACCAACGCTAAAGTGGATAAAATCATTAACCTAATGAATAAACAACTTTCCACAAGGTCACAGTCTCCACCACGGAAAACAGACAGTACTTCTAGTTCTGTTTCCAGCTCTTCACCACTCAAAGCAGCACAGTGCTTCAATTGTGGACAACCAGGTCACTTTGCTAGAGAATGCCAAAGGTCACACAGGTCCCGTTCCCCATCCCCTAGATCACCGAAGAGAGAAACCAGGACTAGTCCAACCAGTTACGACATACGAATGTATGACAACAGTCAAACACATCCATACAACTTGATGCTAGGGATCTCTATTAATGGAAAACCTGTTCAAGCTATTGTCGACACGGCAGCCCAGATAACAGTTATCAGCCAAGCTTTCGCCAACACTTTCACCCCACCCTTAGTTCGTGGAGAAAAAGTAACCATGAAGGGTGCAGGAAATTCTGACTTTATTGAGGCTAACTACTGTAAAAACATTCAGATTTGTATTGGGAACACACAAGAAGACCCAATCACCTGGACTGCCCTTATAGCTGACATATCTGATCCCGTCATATTAGGTCTGGATTTTCTAAAGGCACAAAACGCTACCATTGACCTTAATGAAATACAGATAGTCCTTGGTGGCAAACGGATAAATGCAACTCTACTAGATGCAGGAGGTAAACAAGTTCAAATAGCTAGAGTGAAATGAAGTCAAAAAGTGAGATTTGAACCATTTTCATCAGTGCAGGTTCTTGGCCATTTGGACCAGCACATAGCTGGTACTTTGGTTTTCAAACCATGTCATAATGTTAAGGGATTGCTTTCACCACATGCTTTAGTTGATAACAGTGATCAAGTGCCAGTCCTCTTGCGCAACTTGTCAACAAGACCAGTTAAACTTCAGAAAAATGTAGTGATTGGGACTGTTTCTGAAGTGGACCAAGTCGCCAATGGTGGAATACTACAAGACCACAGCAAGACGAATGAATGTTTTCCTGTCGAATTACCAGACCACTTGATAGACCTAGCAGATAGATCAACAAGAGATCTAACCTCAGAGCAAAGTCAAAGTGTTAAACACCTTCTTCTGGAATTCCAAGACATTTTTTCTAAAGGAGACTTTGACTTGGGACTGTTCAAAGGGATCCAACACAAGATAAACACTGGCAATGCCCACCCGGTGAAATCCAAATTGAGGCGCACACCACTAGGATTCCAATCAGAGGAAGAGGAGCATCTGAAAAGTATGCTGGACAAAGGTATCATCGTTCCATCAGTTTCTGAGTGGTCGTCAGCACCGGTCCTGGTGCGGAAAAAAGATGGGACTGTTAGGTATTGTATTGATTTTAGGGGAGTTAATAAAGTCACCAAGAAAGATGCTTTCCCACTCCCGAACATGGAGGAATGTCTAGACACTCTTGGAAAAAACAACTTTATGAGCACGCTTGACATGGCACAGGGATATTATCAGATAGAGGTAGACCCTGATGATAGACACAAGTTGGCATTCATCACAAGGTATGGCCTATTTGAATTTGTACGAATGCCATTTGGAACATGCAATAGCCCTGCAACCTTTCAACGAGTGATACAGTTAGTTTTACAAGGTCTTAACTGGAAAGAATGCCTTGCTTACCTAGACGATGTCATAGTCTTAGGTCAGAATTTTGAGGAACATTTAATAAATCTAAGAGCAGTATTTGAAAGATTTAGGACCCATAACCTCAAATTAAAACCAAAAAAATGTCATCTCTTCAGGAAGGAGCTTCAATTCCTTGGTCGCTTGGTTACAGAAAAAGGGGTCAGCATCACTACCGAGAGTGTGAAATGTATGGCAGAATGGCCGACACCCAAATGCAAGAAGGACCTTGAAGCATTTCTTGGGTATGTTAACTACCATAGAGAGCATATAAAGAGTTTTGCAGAGATAGCAGCACCTCTGTACACTCTCACAGGGCCAAAGACCAAGTTTATCTGGAATAAAGGGAAGGACACAGCATTCATTTCCCTTAAAGAGGCAATGACTAACCCTGCAGTTCTTGGATATCCCTCTGATGATGGCATGTTCATATTGGACACGGATGCTTCGGACATGGCTATTGGAGCAGAGCTGTCCCAGATTCAGTGTGGTAAGGAAGTCTTAATCAGTTTTAACAGCAAGACCTTGACATCTACTCAACGGAAGTACTGCGTTACTAGGAGGGAGTTGCTAGCTGTTGTAGCATTTACTCGTCACTACCGATATTTTCTACTGGGCAGACCTTTCATTTTGCGGACAGACCACAACAGTCTGGCATGGTTAATTGGGTTCAAAAATATTGAGGGGCAACTAGCTCGCTGGCTAGAAGAGTTATCACAATATGATGTTACCATCCAGCACAGAAGTGGAAAGAAACACCAGAACGCTGATGGCCTCTCCAGAATGTCAACAAATGCCCTGTCCTGTGACTGTTACAATGCTGGTTGTGATGTCAGTAGGCTACCTTGTGGGGGCTGTAGTTACTGTCGACGGATGCATGCTCAATGGGAACGCTTCCAGGAGGATGTTGATGATGTAATCCCCCTAGCAGTTAGGACCCTTCAAGAAACTGATAAACCAAAGGAAACACCTAACACCATAGACAAGGATGCATGTAACTGGGCTTCTGCCTTAACAGATGAAGAAATCAGAGATGCACAAATGCAAGATTTAAACACAAGTACCTTAATGAAATGGAAGGCAGAAAACTATGTTCCAACTGAACTGGACCTGTCCCTTTCCAGTAGAGCTGTAAAATACTTTTGGAACTGCTCATCGCAACTACGAATTTTGAATGGTATCCTTTTCTATGAGTGGATAGATGGCTCTATGTCCCGACTATTGCTTGTGGTCCCAAAGTCACTACAAAATTGTGTTCTAGAAGGATCTCATGACAACAAATTAGCAGGCCATATGGGACAGCAGAAAACCCTACAGAAGGTGAAATCAAAGTATATCTGGTTTGGAATGAGTTCAGATTGCGAGTCTTATGTCCGAACGTGCCCAGTATGTAATGTCAACAAGAAAGCCAATGTACATGCCAAAGCAGGCCTTGGCCAATACCATGCTGGAGCACCCTTAGAAAGAGTGCATATTGACCTGATGGGTCCATTTGTGGAGTCCGGCAAAGGGAACAAGTACATTTTAATGATAGTCGACCAATTCACCAAGTGGTTAGAGTGTTACGCACTGCCTGATCAAGAAGCGGAGACAGTAGCAACATCATTTGTGGAAGGTTTTGTATCTCGATTGGGGTGCCCTCTCCAGCTTCACTCTGACCAGGGTAGAAATTTCGAGAGCCGCTTATTTCAGGAAGTGTGTAAACTACTCCAAATAACAAAGACGAGAACCACCCCATACAGACCCTGCTCAAATGGACAGGTCGAAAGATACAATCGTCTTGTTCTCCAAGCCATCCGATGTTATATGGAAAACATCTCACAACAGAAAGATTGGGACCTACACCTCCAACAAATAGCTGGGGCAGTCCGTGCCACTGTCAATCGACAAACGGGATTCACACCAAACAGAATGATGCTGGGGAGAGAAGTTTCTCAACCTTTAGATATAATGTTAGGAAGGAAGATACCAGGGCAAAACCCAGCAGGATATGTGGAAAATTTGGAGGAGGCTCTTTCAGTGTGTCATCAAGCTGCGAGGGACAACTTGGGGGAAGCACAACTCCGTCAGAAGAGGACCTATGACATAAAATCAAACACAAGAAGCCATGAGGTGGGTGATGTGGTATATATGGTGGATACCTCTTCCAAAGTAGGCCAATCGAAGAAGTTGAGGAAGCCATGGATAGGCCCTTTTGTCATTGTTTATAAGATTAATCATGTGCTATACAGAATCCAAGGGAAAAAGGAAAACAAGGTGGTCCACCATGACAGATTAAAACTTTGTCAAGACAGAGATCTACCCTTATGGCTTAAAAGGCTACGACATTCAGTTCTTCACCCAGAACCCAGTGACAAGGAATCCAAACAGCAAAATCAAGTACAGGAGGAATTACCTCAGTCCAGTTCTTACGAAGATGATGCCGTAAGCCCCACAAATGAAGGACATGAGGATGAATCATCAGATGATCTGGAGATCTGCGAAAGACCTGCTCGAAAACGACAGGCACCTAAGTGGATGAAGGATTTTTGTCTTTTGGACGATTAATCATGATGTCATTGGAAATTTTAATTAGAATTATATGTATTTGAATATCTTTTCCTTCTTATCCACTCCTCCCTCTGTAGAATTTATATGTTTTTTTAATTATTTGTATAATTATGCTTTTTCTTCCAGGATGTGTTCCAAATGAACTTTTATTCCCTTCTGATGATTTTTTACTTGTATATAGTCAAAGTGGCTTGATTTTTCTGGCCCAGCTGACTATTTCATAAATATAATAACGCACTGTACATCTCTTAAAAATTATGAGGGGGAGGAGTGTGGTACGAAACACTTTGGTACGATCTAACAATAAATGAGTTTGCAACCTGATACTGGCCTAGTGATCCCTCGTGGTTCCCGAGCCCCTGTATTGGCCTGTAGCTGAGCTCGCAGACTTACAGGTCACTACAATATGAGTAAAAAATTCTCGCGAGGGAGTTAAACAACAAAAACACGATTAAACAATACCATTAACTCGTAACACAACTTTCAGTACAGTACTTTGATTTTCTATCATAAGTCCATAAGTTCGATTCAGCGACAATTACTGTACGATCCATCTATGGTGCAGAATGTAATTATTTTTTAATTTAAATTCAGGTGTATGTATTGGACTCTGCACCTTCTCTAGTACCAATCATTTCCCTTGTATTATAGTAGGTTGACCCGCCCCTTATGTGTAATTGTTTACATTTAAAAATTAATTATAATGTAAATGTGCATCCTATCGATCTCAAGTGCCTTCTCTTAAAGAGACACAAGGCATATACCCGTGCATCTATACCAGAATATCCTTTGAACTAATGCGCCAGCTGCAGACATTTTCGTTTGATATGTCGTCGATTTATTAAAATAAATCTTTGTGCATGTTAAAAGGACATTGCTGTATCTGCAAGCAAATTGCAATTCTCCTTTCACAATTCAAACCCCTTCTCTCTTTTGGTCTCACTGCCTTAAAAAATTGAGATTTGAAATATTAACTTGTCGTAAATATTTTCTCCTTTTTTCAAATTACAAGAATAATTATTGAACATTTCTTAGTCGAACTCAATATAAAATATAACAAGGACACTGCAAAGAGAAACATTCTCTCACAAAGATCAAGGCGGCATTCGACATCGTTCACTATGCTAATTACGTCACTTTCGTCGAATGCTGCTTTGAATTTTGAGAGGGGATGATCCGCTTTGTGGTGCCTTTGTTTTAATTAGACTGAAATTATACAGTATGATATATTATCAATAACTTGCTTTCTCAGCTTAGCATATGAATTGCTTCCTATTTGGATTTTTAATGATGTATCAGAAGTAAAGTTACCAAAGTTTGTTGATTTCTTTTTGAACATCCGAGAATCCAGCTTTTAAGACCTGACAGGGCAGCACCGATTTTGTCATCTAGGTTTTTGGGACCCTTGGTTCTTGTCGTGATTAGGTAGGTATCTATCGTGAATGTGGGTTTGCTGATGCATGATAACAAATCCGTTTACAGGATCATCATTAACGTACGTATAAAATTTTCTGTGTACCTAGTTTTTCTGGGGGGGGGGGGGGAAGTAAAATATTCTTAATAAAATATTTATAGACAGCTTTGTCTATTGTTATTTATTATAAAATGTTAAAGGTAAAAATAACGAATAGTGATCGATCTGAAAAAAAACTATACGCAATACAAATACGTGAAGAGGTCAAATATATAATGTCAAATTCAAAAACTACTATGCTCAAGAGATATTTTATTGTCAAGTATTTCTGATAGACTGCCTACCCTTCAAAATTTAATTTATATTTTCTGTATTAAAAAAACAACCCCATTATCTTCTTTTTCTCGCATAGCATTGGTGACAAAATATTCCCTCCACCAGCACCCCTACCCCGTCTCCAAACTATCCTGGTCTATTTAATTTATTCATTAACATTTTTTAAATATTTCTTAAAATAACTCAAATGTATAGTAAAATAGTAAAGGACCTTTTGTGGACATCCGAATGACTTCGAACTTGACAGCTTCGGTCCGAGACAAATCAAAATCCAAAGGAACAAGCATCAGTGCTGTGGTACCTCATTCTTTTAAATTTCTGAAGTGATAGATAAAAAATTTTGGGTAAATTTTCTAGAAAAGATGGGTGAATAAGAGGAGCGAACCGTCTTTAGAGCGACAAACATAAAAATGAATAATTAAATCTCAAAAATATCAAAATTTTCTTTGATAGTTCATCTTACAGTAAAGTGTACATTATGTAAATCTCAACAATTTGCAAACATCTTACAAAGAAACACAATTTTTCTAATGTATATGGGTCTTCACTTCATTGTTTGAAAGTTAATCTAAAACGTTTGTGTAAAAATATTCATTTTTGGTGAACAAAAACTTGAAGCAAGGACCCACTTCACCTTAAAAATATACGTTAAAGACAAAACATTCACACATTTCTGAGAATTACACTTAGAGTGTTTTAAGACAAGGGTCATATCACAAAATATGATTTGAATGGCACCCTCCACCAGGTGGTGTAGTGGTAAATTGTTACACAAGAAGCAATATGAAACTCAAGATTTTGTTGCTGTAGGGTTCGAATCCCAAGAATATACCTTATTATTTCTAATTAAAAGAATATTTTTTCGGGGAATTTTTTTCTCAGGAGAGTTTTGTGTATTGAAATTTTATAAATCTTAATAAGAAAGACTTAATTCTGAATGCTTAATTCACAAACTGAATAAGATTTTCATTATCTGAATCTATAGGCATTCTGCATGTCCTTCTCACTCATCTTTTTTTCATTTTCTTCACATGTATAGGTGTATTAACCTTTTTCAGAATGTGCTATGAAAAAATCTAAGCAAATTTAATTAAAATATTGGAAAACATTTAGTAAAAAAAATTATTATGCATGAAAATGATTTGATGAATTTGTTCTATCTAATAAGATAATTCCAAATTGTGTACAGTGGGTATGCTGTGCGTGCAATAGGAAACAATTTTTTGTTTAAAATTATAAGATTTGACTAGCTCGCCCTATAAAGTGTATGTTGTATAATGAGAGGAAACTTACGGAAACCAGCGATACAGTGTGTTTACCAAACTCCAATCCTGAAGAACCACAAAATCCCCATAGGTGTTGTCTCTTACGTCCGCGCTCCGTGTGTCCATAAACAGGTACCATCTACCTTCTACCTGATTACATATTTTATTTATTCTTTAATTATAAAATGCTTTTAACTGACAGGGAAACAAGGAAAATTAGCAGAAATATTTACACATATGCTTATTTTTCTTTAACTAATGCAATTCAAATTTATCATATTTACATTATATATGTAACGTATTTTTGATGTCTAGTCAACATTTTAAGAGGGTGTTGCAGTTCTTTTGTTATTTTCCCTAAATGTGTAGCAGATTAAAAGAAGAATTTTTATGTTGCAGAAACTCGTATTATTTTTTTTCAAATGCAACAATATAAAAAGCACAACGAGAAACAATATTTGGAAGGTGTGTATTGACTTCCAATTTGCCATTAAATGATGTGAAAATTAGTCTTACGGAAAAATATATCAGATTTTCCCTTTTTTCAATAGGGAATCCCCATTGTTCTGAAAAAGTGCCTCCTTGAAACAAAATAATTTTGGTATATACAGAAAGAGGCAGGAATTTTATTCAAAACTGCCATTTTCGATTTTTGTTTCAAAGAGGCACATTTTTGAAAAACGCAAAAATTGAATAAAAATTATTCTCCAAACGAAATGCAAAATGTGCAAAAGAATCGTGTCCGAAATGGTCTAGTGGATATGGTGGTGGGCTTCCAACTAGTACTTTTACCAGGGAATGGGTTCGAATCCTGGTATGGATAATTTTTGCATATTTTTCCCATATGTAATGGTAGTGCAATGAACTTATATATATTTTGAAAGAGAGAGGGGGGGTGTCAAGAAGTTAATTAATAACTAATCTTTATATTATAAATGCAGGATTAAATTGTTTTCCTTGATATGTTGTGACTTAATTAAAACTAATGCTTTATTTAGTTTTGTCTTAGAAAATAAAGTTACTGTATTATTTAATTAATTCATTTTTTTACATACTGAAGTTATTGCAATTTTGGTCTCTTAGTTAGTCAGTTAGTAGCCAAGATTTGATTTGAAACAAATAAAATGTCTTGGATATACATGTAGCACCAACAGTGTGACTATGGGACGCAGTTTTATTTGATGAAAAATATTTTCGCACGATGTCTACAGTATATCTTTCAAAATGCTGCTTTAGCCATTGTGCTTCTTGTTGTTCCAATCTCTTTCGTGCAAAATTTATGCAAAAACTTTCGTTTTGGTAGGAATATTCTTGTTAGACGAATGTATACGGGTAATATCAAGCAGCCTTATGCATGTGTTATGCTTTGAAGTGTTAATTTCTGAAAGCGTTTAAGCTTAAATAACGAAATCAAAGCTATACAATACCTAACATTAATAATACAAACCGTTTTATCCCCATTAAAGGAAAACAATATCTACATGTATTAAAATGTTCTAAGGCTATTAGGGCAAAGATATGCGCATTCATAGAATTGTTTATTACATTTGATACAGTAAGTTTCTACAGTTGTCATTTTAATCTTTAAAGGGTCATTTTCTCGCTGGTGCCAGAAAAAAGTTTTAAAAGTTTCCAAAATTATATAATTATATATCTTTGATTTTACCCTGAATGAATAATTTGCAAAACTCAAAATAAAGTTTTATTTATATAGTTTTTACCTGTCCATCCGTCTGTCTGTTTGTCTATTTGTCCGCAAAAACTTGAACCTTGCCTATAACTTTAGACTGGGAGGGACATTCTCGATGTGTATGGTATTTCCCGCATTTACAGGAAAAAGTATAGTTCCTTATATAAGGTAGTTAAAAAGTATGTATTTTAAAGCAGAATTCATACAGATTTATATGTAAGTTTAAAGGTAAGAGCTTAGGGAATTGAATATATAATTTAATTACTTTGCTTTTCTTACTTCTATGCTATGT